CTGACTATTTGCCCCCTTATCTACTCTAAAGTCGGGTTTTCGAACTTGGTAGACGCTCGATCATAGAGCTTACACTTCGTCATCCTTCAAGTCTAAGATTAGAGAAAACCCAGGGATATGCGTAATTACATGGCCTTTAATCTTATCTCCCGCCAACTTAATAACTAGCGACGGAGTCGCCCCACACCCCTAACGAATAATTAGTATGACCCGACATATATCATGCAGCTGACAGGGTTAAACCACTTACCCAAAATACTGGGACTTCCCCTTCCTCCCGTCGCACTTCGACAACATCTCCAAAATCCGGCTTTCCTAGGTCCTTAATGCCAAGTCGTTCCAGTGCGTCCCAGCCCCAGTCCACTGGTTCCCCATGCGTTCGACTAAAGCGGCCCGTGATAGCACGTACTCGTGGTATGTCTGATTCCTTGTACGGGCGCATGCTCACTACCATTGTCCCTTCAGTAAAGATACCAGCAGGGTGCAGTTTGTAAGTAGTTGTGTACCTAGATCAAGGATTAGCTTTTTGAAAGCAACTTAAGGATAGAAATCCTTGAGACAAAACTCAAGAAAATTAGAAATAGTTGTAGTGGAAAGACAAACATAGTAACATTACAACCAGCTTCAATGTGCCTAGGCGGAAGCCCCGCGGCGACAAGTGCAGAATCAAAACTGAAGCTACAACCCATGATGAACGCCGTGTGAGACTCGGTCCAGTAATCCTTCACGTTGTTTGGGGTGTCAATGAGAGACCCACAGGAGTATACGTTGTATCTTGGGAGATCAGTGCGGAGATCCAATAAGGGCAATGTAGAATCGCCAGCCCCAGATTCAGCACCCGCACTAATTAACTTAGGGTCTGAAAGTGTGTGCGGGTCACCGGTGGTGCGCGAGGTCGCGAGCAAAGAGAAAGGAACTGGGTTGCGCTCGCACAGCGAGACGAAGTCGGCGGCATACTCGGAAGGGAGGACCATAAGGTTACCTAGTCATGTTAACGCCATTCTAGAAAATTGAGTAAGAAAAAAAGGACTTTCGGGGCATACTTTGAACGTAGCCTGGTGCTAGACCAACAGTATTTTCAGTATGCATTTCTGAGCGACATTGCAACCGAACGGCTGCGGCTGATGACTGTGCAGCCATTCTGTCGAGATGAAGGATTTAGAGATGTGATAACTCGGAGGAGCAATTTCAAAATAAGGCTGATGTGCTTGGGTTTTTATACAAAAACAGTTTATGCGGTTGGAACGGGTTCCAGCCCATCCAGGGTAGAGAAAAGCGCCACCAGGGTAGAGAGTTGCGCCATGCTCCTAGCGTCCTTTTCCTCTACACTGGTTAGTCGTTGGTACGATTCCAAATGTAGTATAGACACATATGCGTAGCGTGTTCTGAGCGTGTTGCTCACTTAACGAGAACCATTATAAAGCTAGTTAATATTAGGAAGGTAATAAACCTTGGCATGACTTGAGCTAAGACTAGTCCATTTTTAGAAGGCAGAAGACACTCAGCATATGCCGCGTGCCCTCTGTTGTGATCCTTTCCTTTTTCTTTAACAACTACAAGTGTTATATGCTCAATATCACTCTAACACACGTGTGGCATCTTTAATACTCTGAAGAACCTATTCTGAGCATATGCATAGCATGAACATAAACGCTTCTACTAACGCCGCTGTCACAGGCAGCATTAATCCCTCTAGCTAGCACCATAGTGAGCATATATAGAGTATACACCTTGTATAGACTTACACTAAGTCCATTTATTCACCGCTAAACAAAGTCGCTTGTATTACTAGCTATTATAAAGATTAGTTTAATTAGTTTATATATACTACTAAAAGTATGTTTAGAATTCCTCCGTAAATGCCGAACTTGATGAAGACTTTTGGCGAATTCTCTGAAGGGATACATGTCTCAAACTTATTATCAAACTTAATTTGAACCCTTAAAAACAAAGTATAAATTAATATCTCATATACCTTTGTAAATGCCGAACTTAGTCAAGACTTTTTAGCGAATTCTCTGAAGGTATACGTGTCTCGAACCTGTTGTCAAACTTAATTTGAACTCTTAAAAACAAAGTATAAACTAGTATCTTATATACCTCCGTAAATGCCGAACTGATTCAAGACTTTTAGCGAATTCTTTGAAGGGATACGTGTCTCGGACTGTTATTAAACTTAATTTGAACCCTTAAAAACAAAGTATAAACCGACATCTTATACACCCCCGCAAATGCCGAATTTTAGCCTAAAGCAGAAAAAGAAGCCTTCCAGTAGCCCGCGGAAGTATGAGTCACATTATGTACGATTCGTTTTATAATACGTTTGACTAAAGCGATTTTATATTCGCAAAGCTGTTTTAAACGTATGAAATTCTTAATTTACTATCGAGAGAGTTTTGATTTTGTACAACTGTTTTGCAAAGGACTCTATAATACTATAGAAAGTTGATACGAAATCTACAACTTTTTAAAAGTAGGTTTGGTTTTATAGAATTGTTTTTTGGCCTTCAAAGTTATCGTCCGACATAAAGTTAAATGTATCTTTGCGTTAGACCTCGCTTTGCCCTAGAAGCTAGGTTTTTTCAATGGTTTATACGATAGTGTTAGATTTAAGATCTCTGGGTTTCGTCACTTTATACAACTGGCACTTGATTTTCTTCGTTTTATGTTTGTAAAGTTTGTTTTGTACTTGCACTTTCACAAAATGATTTCACGAAGCCAAAACCATATTCCAAAATTTCGGCGACCTGACGGGCCCTAAACGTACAAAGGTGTAATTCGTATATGATCCGCACAAGACGCAGGGTAGGGAACATAAGCTCAAAGTACCTCAAATCTTGATCATTGAGCTCCTGCAACCTAACAAGTCATCTCGCCAACACAAGAAGTGGATACTAATCTTCGTGTGAGCTATAGATTATCACCTTCTCTCTCATACCCTTTTCGCAGCAACTGAACCAAGCATCACCATGCTTCCAAGCAACATTGAACATCCCCCAAAAATCTGTGCGTAGAGAAAACTGCCATTGTTTGCCGAAATCAAGGCACCGGCAATAGGGGGGCCCGTCAAACATGCAATACTGATAACTGCAAACACCATCCCAAGTCGTGTACCCATCATCTCCAATTTTGTTGTGAAAGTGCTAGAAGCAGCCGGAAAGAGGGCCTGTACAGCATTTGCAAAAAGGCCGTAAAATACAACCCACGCAATGAGGCCGGGAAAACCGTGAATAGCAATCCAACAGAAGATAAGTGAGCCAGAGACGAAAGTGGTGATAGCCAAGCAATATACTGACCCAAACCATCGATCCGCGACCAAGCCGGGAATGATACGGCCAAAGATACCTACTCCATTTATGACAAGAAGAAGAGTCGTAGATTGCCGAGTAGATACAAGTAAGATATCCCGACTGAAAATGCTGATCTGAGTAGAATATGAGCTTGTTAAAACTATCAGAGCAAAGTTTACTTACATAGTAGTATGCAAAATACACACCCCAAAGACTAAGAAAGAGACCAATGGAGTACAGAGTATACGGAAGTTCTCTGAACGCGCTCAAGTCTATCCAAGGTCCAGAAGCCCTTGGAGCGATTCTCGTTTTTGTCAACAGAATAACGAAGCAATTGTTTGCCAACATGACAAATCCCATGATCCGTACTGTCCATGGAAATCCTATGGGTTCTAAGCAAGAATAAGCTATGGCGGGGAAAACAAGCCCTCCAGTGGCACTTCCACATGCCGCAAGGCCAATGGCAATTGACCTGCGCTTAGAAAAATAGGTAGATATGAGCGAGATCATTGGACAGAACAAAAGTCCATGTCCAACTCCTGTGCATATACCCTGCGCAAGTAGAATTTGCCAGTATTGAGTCGCGAATGAGGTTGCAAAGGTACCAATCACTTGTAGGCCACATCCAATGAAGAGTAAGATCTTGAAGTAACCCCCATCTAGCGCTCGGCCAGAAAAAGTGCCAATAAAGAGTAGCAGACACAGTTGTAAGGACCCTATCCAAGAAATATCTGATACGGATCGATTGAGAGTAAGGACGTAGTATTGTTGGAATAGTCCAAAGCTATAAGACTCGTTAGTTATACTCAGATGGGACTTGCAGGCTGATGCCAAACAGGTGAATATCAATTGCCAAATACGCAAGCCATCCAAAAACAAGAAAGGGTTTGGAGTGCAGAGTGCCTAACAGTATAACTTACGAGGATATATAACCCATAGAGTTGAATATCACCAAATGTCCCATAGCTACCTGAGTCCAAGCCAAACATCCACCTTCGGGAGGAGGCTCAACTACTCCTTCTGCTGCAGTTTGTTCGGTTACAGGCATCACTGGAGGACTTGCCGTGACTTTTTGCTGGTTGACGTTGTTCATTTTTTTCGTTGATAGTCATGAGCCTCCTTGTACCAAAGTAACCAAGTAAAGAATCAAGTATATTTTCGATGAGAACACAATAGAATAGCTTGAAAATTCTAAAGCGTAGAATAATGAACGTATATCCGCTCTTTGCTTCAAATACAATAGAGTTTATAGCAGCCGGCATATGTGAACGAACAAGGGGTATAGAACTCGGCGCAGGCCGCAGTTATAGCGGGCGACATGAAGTTTAAACACCCTCCCCCTTCCCATGGCTTATTCGATCTCAGGGGGAGGGCGTTTAAACCTTTTGCACCCTGCTGGATATCGGAGTGATTCGGATAAACAAGGATATAATTAGGTTAAAGTTTTGAGGGATAAACTTTCCTGACTTCCGGACTTGCCGCTGTCTCTATACAGAAGATCGGGCGCGCGAAGCGTGCCTTACCAGTACATGCCATTCAGTCGCGAACCCACACTTGATTTTACTAAGCACGTTTTTTTTCTATACATACCACTTGAAATCCCCATATTCTAAGAATGAATCTTGACATCTACAGAATCAAATCAGTTCTAACTTTCTTACAAAACACCTCTACTCCTCCAACATTACATACAACTTTGTTTTATTCAAAATGGCTGTCATTTCCTCCAGGACTTACGGAGTCAAGCTCGTCGACATCACCAACGACAAAAAGTCACTCAACGATGAGAACGTCGCAAAATTCGAGATTCTCATCAAGAGTGGCGACGACGCACCTTTGAGCAGTACTTCTACAACCAAGCCTGTCTCCAAATCAAAATCTCCAGAAGTGCTTCCTGTAGCTCCTGCTCCTGCTCCTGCTCCTGTCCATACACCGGATCTTTCAACATCAACCGAAACTTTGCCAAGAAAGATTCTGCGCATCATCCAGAGCTACGGACAGAACGAGCCCGATCCCACAGGTAGTCCGTGGCTCGGAATGGTCAAGTTTGACCCGATTGTACAGAAGCACGTCGCGGATTGTGAACCAATTAAAATGGTACTCCCTGCTTTCCCATGGAAGAGCGTGAACAAAGTCGACAAGGTCCTCGGCAGGTTGCCAGACTTTGGGGAGGAACTCGCCTTAGCCCGACTCAACCAACTATGCAATGATATTGGTGAGATCTACGAGTATGGCGCTGAGGTAACTATTACCTCAGATGGGCTTGTGTATAGTGGTAAGTTCAGAATGTCTTTCAATCTGCTTATGAAATAACTGAAAAATTCCGCAGATCTTGTAGGAATTGAAGACGAAGAGGTCTTCGAGTATGGAGCTGCTCTTCGAGAAATGGCCGTGCAAAAGCGGTTCACGAATATTAAATTCACCCGCATAATGGATCTCCTTGGACTGAACGACAAAGCTACGGTCTCGAAAAGCGAGTATCTTAGCTTGACAGCTGAATGCCGAAAGCAGCTCATGGAGCGATACTTGCCAGCAGGATTTGATGCCCGGGAGGAGTTGCTTCAAAATCAGGATGCCAATACGACATATTGCGGCTATATAATTTTCTTGACGAAGGATTTACAGTATTTAGAATCCCCAATTGATTTGCATAGCATCGGAATTGCCGCTAACTGATTCGTAGACAAAACCCAAAGCTCTGGGCTGATAATACTAGCAACGAAGTGAAGAGGACTGTGAGCAACCAAGAGTACAGGCGCAGAGTGAAACGTGTAGCACTTGACATGATTACAAGAGGCAAGGTGAGTTTAATTTCAAGTAGACTCCTACTGTGAGTGAATCAGTGTTTCGAGGCTTACGCGCTGGAAACGATATAGGCATTCGCGGCAGTAATCGAGAGCCAGATGCCTGACTACGTCCGCCTTTCAATCCACCGCTCCACTGGGCGAACAAAGCTGTCTTTCCCACTCATCCCCAGGAAGACTCTTTCTCCAAGACTCCATGGCATACATGTGTTCTCGTAACGGCATCTGGACAGTTCCGCACTGAACATGCGATGGATCTTCGAGAGAAGCATGAACTTGTTCACAAAAATGGGCGCCCTTACTTCTTCCGAGAGAAGTCTGCCATGTGGGATTGGAAGGATACTACGTTTGAGTACTTCTATCCAAAGGGATTGATTATTCAGGCGGAGGGGTGTAGTGGTGATGCTCGTGTCTTATCTGCCATAGAGGAGAAGCACTTGGAGAGTTTGAGCAAAGTATTCTCTCCTGTCATTGTTAAGGGATTTGCATAGGCAAGAGAGTTCATGTTGTATTATAGTCTTTTGGTTGAGCAATTCCGCTTGATCACCAGTGCAAGATTTTGATGAGACCCAGAGGGGGTTGATGGTGGATGTTGTATAAGTCCGTGCACCCCCTTTTCGAACACCCGAAAACGGCCCGTGCTTACACCGCTCTTTCCACAACACCTTAAAAATTAAAATCTAAACCTAATTAAAATCCTTATATTTTTTAATTCTAAGTTCTATTGCTAAATATGTGTCGATATACATACAGAAGACGAATTGTAACCAGCAATTGAAGACGTTATAGATGACTTGTCTATGCGTGCAGCAGCCCGAAAATGGGGTCCTCTATATAGTACAATTAGAAGCAGGATGTCTAGAACAGAGTCCTATACCCAAGGTGCCCAGGGTCAGCAGAGGCTATCTAAAGTTTGGGAGAACCATATAACTGACTAGATTTTAACCTAGGAGTCCCTAGGACACCTGTTAACACACGCTTGTCACGAACACGTGAATAGCATGGGACATTAGGCTCAGACAGCTGTTATTGGTTGACAGGAGAACCCAGGTTATTGGTCACGGAGGTTCTATATAAGACTGGATAATTCCCTCAGATAAGAGCTTCGTGCTCAACTTGCTTTAGTTATTCAATACAAGCTTTGTTTACCTAAGACAAGTAACGAGTTCACCTCCGAGTGAACAATACCCCGACTGCCACACTTCTGTTACAATACCAACCAACTAGTACCCTGTCGGCTAGCAGTGCGTTTGCTAGCATAGAGTATTCACTACACTTTCACGGTTTAATACGAGCACTCTCGTTGTGCTGCACTCGCGTTCCCCGCATTGATATGATTGCGGGCTGAGTCCTGCTTGGGAATTTGCCGAAGATCCAGCTCCAGGACTTGTCCTCCTTGTATGCCAGCAAACGCTGCTCGCTAGTGACAAACGATGACGTCAAGGTGATTCGAAGAAGCACAGTGTCAGACGATTGGGGCGTCGCGAAGACAAACAAGGAGGAAGAAGATTGGACAAAGTGCGACCATGTAGGCAAAGAATCGCTAGAGAAAGGCCTTTTATCTTGTTTATTGAAAGGGTTGGGAAATTGCTACATGATACAATGATACAGTTGAAACTATCAAACAAACACGCAATTGTTGAGATCATCAGCCAAGAGCTCGTTCCTGACGAACATGCCTTTGCAGGTTGCAACATCTACTTCCTCATTACCGTACACACATCTGCTTTCGAGTGCGTCTGCGCCTCATGTTCTGCTCGAGGACTTGACCAGTCCAGGGGGGTGCCGGCAGATCTGCGTCGTCGCTTGCAGCAATGCTACTTCTTAAGCTTCGTGGAATAGCGCACTTGGATCGTCCTCTTGCTCCAGTAGGGGAGGGCGGCGTAGATGTCTCCCCACGAATAGCCCTCTTTGTTCATCTTGAGCACCGTCGCATCCTCGTCTAGTGTTCACGGAAGCGCTTTGTCTGATGCTGCAACGGAGTTTGACAGATCTCGGAATAGGTAGCGACATCGAGAGAGATCGAGGATCTGGCCTGCGCTTCGCTAAACAAAGTCCTCAATAGTCCGGAATAGAGTTGCAGCCTCTGCGGACATCTCTTTATTAGAACGCATGCCCAACGCTTCGGAAAGGACGGGGAGGTGGAGTTGCTCCAGAATGTGTAGCAACTGGAAATCTAGATCGTACATTGTCTCATTCCCAATCCTAATGCGTTTTAGGAAACCCTGGAATGGCCATTCTTGATACTCCGCAACTGGTGCCGATTTTACCGTAGCCGAGGGACTTCGAGAGGCTCGTGCAGAATGGTGGTGGTGCTGACCATCATCTGCGAGAGTTGGCGGGTGCCCGTGATCGGCCTGGGACTGCGCATCGCCTATCTCAGGTTGGTGCTTGTGCTTTTTGTGTATTGGGCCGTTGGATGAAGACAATCGTTTTCGCTTAGCAAGACGTGGTTCCTCATCATCCTTATCCGATGTGATATTGTTAAGCTCGTCGCTGCTATGACTGCCGCATACCGCCTCGTCATGACTTGTCGCTGGTGATAGATCGCGGTTAGTGAGTAGCTGCTGTAACCTTTGCACTGGGGCCATGGAGTCTGCCTCCCAATCCAGCAAATCTTCGTCCGCCTGCGGGAGCTCGATTGCTTCCGTACCCAGGATGACACTGTTTTCGCAGGAAGATCTGCACTTCCTTACAGAGGCGCCCTGGAGGTTTACAGGGTGTTCACTCTTGAAGGATGCATCATTATCTTCATCCTCATCCTGTTGTTGTTGTTGCTGCTGCTCCCTCTCATCAACAGGATCGGCATTGCGTGCAAGGCCAACCAACCCGCGCTCGTCTGCTACGCCTCGACCGGTATGAAAAAGACCCTCATGACTAAGCTGGTTCTCTGATAGCGCTGTTGTGGCCTCGGATCTGGCGCGGCGCGGATCGAGGTCCACAGCACCGATGCTGTTGTGCAATGGCTCGCTCGAGAGGCGCGAAGCGGAGGCATATGTGGAATTTGATATTGAAGCTCCTTGTTGGATAAGCCGAAAGCATGGAGCCGTCTTGAGAAAGTTGTTAATATCATACTATTCATTAAGACTTATGAAATCGAGATTGATAAACCAATAGTATTCTTTAGATTATTTAAAAGACTTATATCTATTACTAGATTCTCAATGCAATCATTATTATCAACTTCGATTTTAGAAATACTAAAGTTATTATTTTCTAATAAAACTAGTTGTCTATTTCTACAACAAAGTATAGTGAGTATGCTTACCTGAATTACCGCCTAAGTTATCGCCTAATGTTAACCCATTATCATTATAAGAACCGCCTCTCTCCTCCACAATTACATCCCCAACTCCAACGGCTGTATTATTCGAACGCTGCTCCTCCGCTGAAAGTCCTTTTTCTGTAGCGTGGTATATAACAGTTGTTCGGTGGAGGGAGGGTCGTAGTAGCCGTCGTTTTCGTTGTCGTGGCCGATCGTACTAGTCTCTACTCAGATGCCCACAGATTGGTTGTCATCAACCTAATGATCTCGATCTCAGAACGTACCTCGGATTACAAGCCTCTCAACTCCAATATCATTAGCCGTTACTGCTAGTTGCGGCGAGTTGAGTGTTGCATTGCTCAGCTTGCTACTCTGGAGCTTGTCAAAGATGCTCGATTGCTTCGGGGTAGGTTTGTGGTGGCGAGTTGTTGCGCTCTTGGAGCGCGGAGCAGTTGGCACATAAGTATAAGAGATGGGGACAAAAGTGGCCATTTCGAGCGTGTGGGAATGATCGGAAGTATTCAAGAAATTCTCTGCTTGCTGCTGGCTGTACAACGGGACTGGAAAATGATGGCAGAGGGGGGAATCAAAGGGCTTATGTAGGCTTCTCACGGCGCCCTCTGTAGCCCACCGTATACTCCTGGCGTGCCGTCCTCTCTTACGTTGTCACCGTCAAAAATGCCTTGGCGTCAATGCTGCCCCTCTCACGCATAGAGATCAACCGCAGCTGCCAGGCTCCGAGACCTTCGATCCTGCGCTGTCATGCCGGAAAATTCCCATTGCTATCCGTGGCGACCATCTCCACTTCGCTGTCCACCACGATCGGCCGATTTCAGTATCCTTTCTCGATCGTTGGCGAGGCGGCGAAGCGCTGAACAAGGAGGCAGTGACGATCGAAGGAAGGGAGGAGTCGTATGACCTCAGATACCGCGGTCTCCGCCTATCCCAAAGCTTGAGGCAGACTTGCACATTCCAAGGGATCCCAGTTTTCCAGCGCCTCAGCTGCCAAACGTGCTGCCACAATCCAATCGGCAGATTCTCAGCAGGTCCTTAGCTGGTCTAAGCAGTACTTCGAAAGGGGCTCGCATTATCCTGCCCTCACGAATTAGCACAGATCTGCGCAATCAAGACGAATACGAAACATGCTGCGGCAGAAGGAAAATTTACTAGGAAGCTCTCGACGCGCCATCCACCAGTGGCACCTAGGTACAGCTAGGCAGAAGCCAGACTACGTGGTCGTGAGGCATTCTGCGACTCGCTATTGTGCGGTCCAGAGGGCAGGCCAGATCGACGGCCTCTATCTCCGGAGCGCGCTGCAGTGAGAGGCGGTGATGGTGCGACGACGAGGCAGATTGCGAGACCGTCTGGACGCTGTCGAGCTCGTAACTCGGCCAATGCGAGGTGGAACTGAGAGGGGATCCGCATCACAGCTGCTCAGTACCATCGAAGCTGTAGAGGGCGATCGTGAAGTTTGGTTGAGGCTTCCCCGCACCTCGCTGGCGCGGTCTTCTCAGCTGCAGCGTGGCCGAGGGGAGCCTGCTAGGAAGAGGCAGGATCCTAGGCAGAAGAGCAGAATGCGCGTGAAGGTGGAGACTTTGGGGTTGTTGGAAGAGGAGATAGAAGGAAGGAGGATGAGCGAGCGAGGGGAGTCGCGAGATTCTTATACCTCGCGAAGCGGCGGCGGGCGCCAAACCCGGGGGGGGGCAACACCACAATGTATATTATAAATTATACTCTTTATATAGCCTTATAATATTAATAATAGTAGTTTATAATCACAAATATATAAATGATAGTAAAAAAAGGAGTAATAATAAGAACAACAAAAGGGGAACAGTTATACACTATGTTATTTTTTGATTTTTGATCATCTTTATTTCAAAATATTTTTGGGAATTTTCAGTTTTATAAATTAAAAGGATTTGAATGATTTTTTTGAAAAAAGAAAACCTTTCCTATACTCCTCTGAATCAGAGCTTTAATTTAATACAAAAATATTCAATTTAAAGAAGAATTTTTCTGGTAGGTGGTTGAGTGTCCTAGACTATACTTGAATCTGACCACTAAGTCCCCTATTCAAGTACTTTTTGCAAATGAATAGCCATTGTGTTGAGGATTAATTATGCTCTATACTTTCATTGACTGTTTGAATTATTTCCGTAATCATGAAAAAGAGTGGAGAGACAGCAATTTTAGAATAAAATCGATACGCCTCCATAATTCAGCCCAATCTTTGAATTCATCGGTGATGGATATCTTATCCTATAAATTATTTCTTTCCCAAAACGCCACATCAGTAAATACCAATCTTTATCTCACATGCGGTTCAATCCCATAATCCTCCAAATCCCCATTACTTCTCTCCCTCGTTAACGCTCTCCCAATTGCTGTAATTTCCACCCTATGTTCCACAAACCTCCCATCCAGCTTCAAATCAAAAGCATCATCATCATCCAATGACTCGATTCCATATCTGAACTTCTTCTTCTTCGACGATTTCTGTCCTATAGTTTCGAGATCACAGAGACGAGAGCCCGAGTTCTCCAGGGAATCGATTGTTGATTCGCCTATCCACCCCGGCGCAACGTGTTTGGCGAATTGCCGAATGATGGGGAAGGAGCCGCAGATGGTTACGAGGTTGGCTTCTACGATACTGTGGGTGGGTGGAAAGGATTAGTATACTCGGATACTTCAAGTTGGGTATGAGCAAATACGTGTAAGGGAGAGGTGATGGAGAGGAAAATGCTTACATCCATATGCAAGGAACCGAGACAGCCCATGTCTGATCCGGCGCCATGAGAAGAGGTAACATGATCTTTAAACGTATCATACTCGTTACACAAGTTCTATATCCTCGAAAATCAGCCCCCGCTCTCTTTCCTCGACACCAGATAAATTGCAACCAAGCAAAGAGGGATTTCCACTTACAGCGACCCAACCATGAAAATCACAATCAAGCCCACTTTCTGAATCCTCGGCATCTGCAAATCCACAATCATCGGAACGACCAAAACAAGGAGTGCAATATCCGTAGCGACGTTCAAAGCAGCTGTCGCGATATATATCGCGGTGCGATCAATACATGTCCCATCTACAATATCGTAATCCCAATTCATAGCCAATGGTTTGCAAAGGAATATCAGTGCAAAGATGAGAGCGAAACTATGGCCCACAACTACGAACATAAGAAAGTAAACTGCGTTTCGAAACCATTGAACTGGTGATAGACGGTTGTAGAAGAGCAGGAGCGAAAATTTGGATAATCCGAGACAGGCCACATAGATGACTGACGAGCTCATAATCAGCTAAATCGAAGAAAGACGTTAGATGGATAGACTTCGAAGACGCCCATGCGTAAGTGGTGGAAATCTCACTTTGCCGTATAAATGATATCTTTCGATTGGAATTTCCCATGCGTGTACTCCCATTGCTTTTTGAAGCCACATGACTGCACAAAATCAATCAGCTTTGTTTTTCACAGCAGAATCTTGGATTTCGCGTACAAACAAAAAGTGCCTGCACACTAACTCCCGCAAGCTATTTCCTCAATCAATAAGATGCAATGCCATCCACTCGAATCAAATCACTCACCCAAGCCAAAATCAAACAGACTGTATTCCGAATATAAGTTAGCAAATCTTCCAATATAGCAGTGAGATATAAACAACTTACCATCCTCAGCAGCAAAACTCCTCGAAACAACCGCTTTCGTGTAAATCCTCATACACAGAAACGAAAAGCTCAATATGGTTCCTACGCCAAAAACCCAATATCCAGTTATATCTTCATATCTTACCGGGTTATCAAAGTTCACGATATAACCCTCCGGTGCGGGTAAGGCTGCTATGGGTGAAGACATTGGAAATATGTTGAGAAATATTTCGGGGTTCAAGCAGGAACGTCAGTATATTAATCATGGAACATAATTTGTCATTCCATTTCATTTCGACGGGTATCCATTGTTATAGTTACAAAAGTAGATGATATATCTTTACGATTCGCAACAGGTTTCAACCCTAGATTGAAGAGATATAAAAGAGTCAAATTTTGTAAGATTAATTTTCTGTGAGAGGTGGTCTAGACCTAATAACGTGGCAAATTTTGTATTCACGATGTATTTCTCCAAAGATTTGTGAGGATAGGGGACACATGGTGGTCTTGACTTGTCTCTTGATATGGTATATGTTTGATTAAACTTGGACTAGAGTTACTAGATGAACCTTAATTGAAATGTCGCAGATCTACGATGAGATGACTTCTGTTCTACGATCTGCTAACAGTAACAAATTTCTTGTCGTTATCCTCATAGATTTAGACTTGAATTTATACGAGATGGAACGTAGATCTTTTGCTCGATTACTTCAGATTCATGATCACAATTCTTATTGTCGATTCCCAATGTGATCAATATTCCGCCCTTCTGGAATACTAAGGTTCAGCACAGACTAAAGAACCCTTAACAGGGTCAACTTTATATAATAGCGCATGTCACAATTAATCACCGACACTCTGCTCGCAACACCAAATAAAATGTGAGATCTGTCGATCGATGAGAAAAAGCTATAAAAGTAATAATAATAAAAGGCCTGTGATCATTGAGACGATACTATTGAGTCGATACCGGTACAGTTATTTCAACCAGATCGTAGGCTAATTATTAGCCTACGATTACACACTGGAAACAGTATTAACTGGAACGGTTCACCTACCAACTGCACGCCCTAGCCAGCTGAACAACTAAACTTATTTGAGTGATATTCTAGGGGGATTCCTTTTTCAGGGTATCAAAAGTTTAATCAACCCCAGTGAGACAATTCTAGCATTTTAAGGTCGGCGATTATTAATCGTTCCATTATCCAGAATGTTCAGTTGGCGGGTGAATCCTTTTAAGCTCTGTTACTGCTTAGCTCTTTTAAAACCCACGATAGCCGTAAAAGAAAGATCTAACATCGACTGTTTACTAAATTGCTATTCTTGATTGAAGAAAATGGTGGGTAGCCGAAGGATACACGATGAACTTTACCGTTCGCGGGGATAGAGTGTCACCATTTACCTCGAAGAGGTTTTGCTTCTGGATGATTGGGTTTGAAAACATTGCTACTACTGAGTATCTACCCGCCACATCCCAGCCCCATCTGCATGATGTCAGTAGTTACTAGTCACTTTCAGATATCATCAGGAATGGGCGTGTGTTAATTTGTCTTCTGTAGATCTTCACCGATCATTGTCTTCAACACCAAACTTCGTGAAAGTGCATAGATATTTTCTTCCTCGCCTTGATACCTAAGTGCCCTCAATCATCCTGACCACCCAATTCGTGGTTCAAAATGAGACACAAAAAAGCCATCGTTTAGTTTGTGGCGGTAGCTGGTGTAACTTCACATACTAATAGTACCGCCACAAACAGTACAACTTGATACTATTCATGAACCACTCTATTATCCATCCACACGGTACCCTAAGATTGACGTCGACTAACCTCATCTTGTGAGTGTTATGCTAATCAGTACATGAGACGATGGCCAGGCATGGTATTACTGTTGCTGGAGATCGTGTAGCAACATTGGAGGTGTCAAGGTTAGTTCAACCTTTGGAATCTTCCATATCGTACTTGTGAATGGCACAATAATCAGCGCCAAGAATAAAACTAGGTCAAACTTCTTTCAAACATTGACAGACGTCTCAGGGATCCTGAGAACTATCACTAGACTATGTTTGGAGACTTTTGTTGGTCGCCAAACAATACCTGGGGAGGTATTGGGACGGATCCAGATAGCGCTTCAGCTCAGCAACCTCAAGCGACGGTTAGATTTGATAACAGAATCGGCAACGATCTATTCTGCTCTGCCATCAGAATTTAGAAATATCCTACTTCAAAGAAACAAACTACCGTTGTCAACGCGCATGGTTATATAAGCCCCGCTGTGGCTACTTCCGCGGTCACAGAGTTTATGCTATCTCCCGAAATACATCTGATTCCATGGGAGTTGTTATTATGGCTGATCTTATAGTTTAATTCGAGCAGACATGTAGCTGTAGGTATTTCAAGCCATCTTGCAGTTGGCGCGACTGAATTGATTAGGTGTTTAACGGGATAGTTCTAGGAGACTTTCATTCAAGAATGATTTGAGGGTTCTCACCACAGCCATCGAACTCCACAAGGCTTCAATCCACACAACCGAGTAGGACTCCGAAAAGGTCTTCCAAGTATGATGCCAAGTATTCTCAAGATTTTGATGTTGAATACAACTGATTTGACGAGTTGACGACAGCTTTTGCTGATATAAACTTTGAGGTAATGCTGAGGAAGAAAAGTAAACGGACAAACATGACGAGGTATGAAATTTTTAGAAGAAATAATTGTTTATACAAATGAAACTAACAGTCACCAAAATGCGTTCCTTTGAATCTTAGTGTATCATCATTCATGTCTGAACGATGGAATTAATGGGTGTCAGTTGGACTTCCAATTGATGATTGTCATAAATGAACTGACTGATTGATGAGGTACGTCTTTTTCAAGGTTATTTAAGGTCTCTTACGAGAAGATATGTTGTGATAATAGCTCATTGGCGGCAGGCCAGTACCACCCAAGACCGCCAACTAATTTACATAATTGAAGTCATGTAAATTTCAATTGAATGGGAATGGGACACGACGACGGTCAGTAGAACAACAAAGTCAAATGAATATCAAGACGAGAATACAGTCGAGAGTAGACTAAAAATCATATCACATCAATAAATATTTAAACTATAAGAATTATAATTTGAGAGACAAAACAACAAACATTCCAGATCAATATTACAAGATGCAAGCAACTACAAAGACAAAGACAGAGATCAAAAAACAAACAAAAGAAAATACTCAAGCAAATGCAAGAATCGTGAAGGCGTCGTCGTCGTCGTCGAGTACACAGCCGTCGTCTGCAGAACCACGGCAAACAACAATAGAGATCGCTGACACCGGAAAGAGCAACGGTGGTATACACGATGCAAGTTCAGCCATCAAAAAGCCCCAAAAGAAACAATATTTGGATGCAAAAAGAAGAGACTCGGCCCCAAGTGCAAGTCAAAGAATTTTGGGCAAGGTAAAAGATAAGATAGGAAGATAAAAGGAAAGCACGGTGGTCTTTGCTGGGAAGAAGACGTAGCATCCAGGATGGCGTTGATCGCTTGTTGAAACAAATATAAACTGATAAATCGCTTCACAGACAAGTTGAAAAGTAGCTATAACTAAGAATCTCAAGTGCTGATCTCAACAATTTTTTTGTATAGTATTTCAAGTTAACCTGATACCAGTATGTATCGTGATATTCAGTGTCGATTGCAATGATCGCCTATGTGACTTCCCCTTCACTCACATCAGTAGAACGGATCTGAAACAACAAATGCAAAATTGAGTAAATGAGGCGACAAAGAAATCAAATGACAAGTAAGGGTAGCAGGAATCTTCGCTAGATGCTTCTCAATCTAGTAGAACCAAAGAAATCCTCATACAAGGTTCATATGTATAGCAAGAACGTGAATTATATGCAGGAAGGTGGGGGCAGACAAGCTGAATGATCTTCTGCGGGGTCCAGAACACTATATATTGAAAGCTTACCATAATTCAATCAATATGAATTCTGCGTATTGTTCACTAAACATACAGAGCTTCGGATGGCAGATACCAAGTAGGACCCGATTCGTGATGAGAGATATGGGGTGATAGGTATACTTTGCATACGCATGATGAGAATTAGGTCTGAACAATTCTCGATGAGAGAACTTGCCTCTAGTTGTGTAGCCTGGTTTGCTGAATCTGGCTTGGCCTGGCTACCCAGCTGAGTAGTGAGGATATGAAGCCTCTCTCCTCTGAAAGTTAGATTCAGTGGGTGGATTTGTTGAGTCATGCCAATGACATACTATACATGGAAAAAGAGTACGAGTGCAAAGTGTTGTATTGAAAGATTGCTTCGTCACTTCCTGTCGGTATCCGCCACCATGTATTATTGTGTACACACAAGATATAATCATGGGCCCGCGCAGTTGCTCTGATGTTATTCGCGTATATACAGCAGCTGGCGTCCGAATTGATATGATGAGGAGGGTGATCAAAGCCATTGATTGGTGTGATGTGATATGATGTGATGGAAGAAGCTACGACAAGAGCCATTGAGAGAAATTTGATTCTTTTTCCCCAGTATGGATGGATATCGGGATTCGGTAGTTGTAACCCACTTCCGGGTAAATGACCGGATACTCTCGAGATACTCGTGATGCTCTAGACCCCACCTCACCTCTTTCCCGGGCGCTTAAAAAATAATGCCAATATCCATAACAGTCATCCAATCAAAATGCAGAATAAGCACAAGAGGACGGTAGCATTTTCTCTCATCTCCTTCGCTTTCTGCACCCTTCACTCTCTTCACATCTCTTCAACCAACCACAACATCCATCACCCCTTGACTCTCGGATCATACGAAAATCTGACTGCAGCCCAAACGAGGACGCTGGATATTTCTCCCAATTAAGTATCTGCATTGACTGTATTTGTTGATACTCCCTTTTGATCCCTTCTAATCCCTGGTAATTCTCCTTGTTCTATCATTCTATTGGTCAATTTATCTTCCGGGCGCTATCAAATCTTGCCATGAGAGCATTCCATTCTCTTCTTCCTGGACCATACAAAATGCACATCGACCAAACAAATATTCTCGCACTTCATACTCTTCATCCAATCCAATTCCTAGGTCGCCTTACACTCGAACATCTATACTCGATATTGCCTAGGGAGGTATGTAGGTACGCAACTCTCGCAGAATAATAATAGTGTGCAGTTGTGCAGCATGCAGCTTTACCGGCTTTGGAGGATTTCACTCCCGTATATACATCAATTCATCCCCCCTTGAAATTGAAAAGCTGGAACACTTCATGTCACTTATTATCTCAAAATATCTAAAATCGTTTCAATGGGAGTTTATGATACACTTACAATATGCTCCATTTGAAATGTTGAGGCTATAAAAGAGGTCAATTGTATCATCACATACACAAAATGCTTCGAGGTGAATCAGATCGTATCAATATACCATCGTCCATTCTTTTGATTTGCTCAACATCCACTTCATTACCGTCCCTTCTTTGCATCTTCTCGGCCTTCGCTCTTTTGCCTATCAAGGTATTCGCGAATCCAATCTCAACAAGGAAACTTTCTCGAAGTAATCCATTAGGAATAGATTGGTCGCCAGCACCACCACCAGAAGACGGTCCACCTCTTTCAGCCGGAGCTTCACGAAATAAAGCACTCTTACCAGCTCAGATTGGTGGTATCATAGGTGCATATCTATTTTCTCTTTGTATCGTGGGAATTCTCATAATCACCCTCGGGAAAAGATTACGAAGACAAGTTGAATCAGAAGCTAGAGCCTTGGAGGTGGAATTAGTCGACTCGACATTTGCCGGCGTTTACACTGGATCATCAGGTCCAACTCCAATTTCTCCATCAAACCTTCGAAACTTTTCCTGGCCATCTCCAGATAAAAAGTGCTTCGCACCGGCAATCAATCCCGACCCAAACGCTTTTGTTTTTCCTTCAATACACGAATCATATACAAATCCTTACGTTTACCCTACTCAAAGACATCACAGTATACACCAAAGTATATACTCGCATCAAAGTCAACCTAGTATTGATAACAAGATTGTTGAAGCTGATCGAGAAATGATGAATCGAAATCTGGAGGATCTGTACGCTCATGTGATGGAGCAAGAGGAAGCAAAGGCTGCAGGAATGGATGTAAGAAACATGCCACCTCCCAAGGTACCCGGAGGAGTATCTACGGTAGCACCGCAACAAGTACAATCATCATCAAGGAAACTTGGGAAACATAAGCCTTCGGAAATCAATATCAACGATAATAAATCAACCAAGACCCACTCTCGAGCATCTTCCATAATTTCAGCTCTTACCTCTCCTAGATCTGTACCCAAGTCACCTAAATCTCCACGAAGAAAGGGAATTCGGGGTTTACGAATTTCATCTCCAATTGCGACACCACACTCAACCACTTTCTCACATGCCGCATCGGACGAAGAGCCTCTAACACCACGAGGATACGTGCATAGAGCCCCGCCACCAATTCCAAGAAATCAAGTGCCGTACGGCTCCACATCGTCTAACGGTGGATCACCTACTCGCAGTATAGCAGAGACCCTCGACACAATATCACCTGTATCTCCTCAGCAAAAGCTTCCTTCCCTTAACACCCGCAATCTCCAAATCTCCCTCAAATCTGAACCAAATACTGCTTCTCCTCAATCAGCAGAAGAACGCACCAAAACCATGTTTTCCCGACCTCTTCGGGCCGCTCCTTCAAGAAACTCTCTCCTCCATAAAACCCAAACCTCGAATGGTTCTTCTGCCTCCCCAGATTCTCCCTCATCATCCACAGCTATCGGCTCTACCTCTACTTACCAAACCGCCAGTCACGCCTCCTCAGCACCAACCCGCTCTCTCCCCTTCCGCGAGCAATTTCAACAAAATATGCTCTCTCCAAACCTCCCCACCAAAACCACCATTCTCGAACGTGTTCCTCGAGATAATGGACAGAAAACCGGAGGTCTCAGAACGGGAGGTCTTAAAACACCTTTCAGCGGAGGCACGGTACCATATAGTCCTTATCAACCATTTACACCCATGATGCCGATTACGCCGCGATTAGTGACCAAGGAGGATAGAAAGAAGATGAAGAGAGCTATGCCCAAAACACCGGTTGTGGAAATGATCAAGAGTGAAGAGGATATTTGGGATAGTGGATATTGAGTTAATATTTCTTTCATAGAGTAGCATGGTATAGTATGGCGTGGTATGAGGATAGTAGGCAGAGGAGTCGGAGACAAGGGTGGAAATGTAAATGTGTAAAGCCATTACATGAATTAATGATATCACGAAGAGATCAAATAATACTTTGAGTGCGGAGTATTTGAGGCGGAGTTATAATTGTTTTACGATATGTTTCTTGCTCCTGTTCCCCAGGAGTCGGTAATGAAGATGGGTTAGGAAATTGCACAAGTATGAGAGACGAGGAAATAGAGTAATCATGATAAAGATATCATGCACATGCCTCTTATAGTACTACAATACCGACTTTACATAGCTGGAGCTGCTTGCACACTTTCATATTTTCTCATGGACTTGGATAAATTATACAATGAGATTTTTTTCTTCCCCAAATGGTCACAGAAGTGTTCGGATTTATAGATTTGAGATTGGATCTAGTTTCATTCGAGCCATTTCAAATTTGGAATGGCTGACACATGAGAAGATCCAACTACTCACTATTCGTCTCAAACATCATCAAATTCATAGCTTAAATTCTTCATTTGATAGTCTCTCCATCGATAAATAAATCATCTCTATCCCAAGGTGCCTGCACCCTCACAAAACCAAAAAACCCCCCCAAAAAGCAGAATACCACCCATGACCCATCCCCACCTCCCCAAAACCGTCTAAACAAAACAAACCCAGCCCCCTCTAACTAACATACGCCTGCCCCGCCAAACTCAACGCCGTCCCAGCAGCATCCAGCAAAAACCCCGGAAAAACGCCAAAATACGAGTATCTCTCTACATAATCCTGCGCATCCAACCAGGGCAACACTTTTCTCAAAAACGCCGCTTGCTGCGCATCCGAACCATAGCATTGGAATTCCGTGATCCAGATGGGTAGTTTGAGGGTGTCGTGCGCGTTGGTGACGTTGGAGATGAACCAATCGGAGCCCGATTGTCCGGAGCTGGGCTCGCAGTCTTGGTAGTAGTGGATGGCTGCGAAGTCGATGTGGCAGGAGGTGCAGTTTCCGAGGAAATATTGTGTCCAGGTGCGGGAGTTGTAGGAGCCGCCTGAGGACCACTGGGGGAGGGGTTAGTTAAATGGATGTATTGAGGGAGGTGAGAGGATGAAGTGTTAAAGGGGTTTGAACGGATCAGAAGAAGGGATTGGATGAGAGTGTCTTACACTATTCCAGTTATTCCACAAAACACCTGGTCCACCAATGCGCACCTGTCCTTCAAATTGTTCAATGTAAGATTTGTATCCTACGGCTGCGGCTTCAGGAAGCATATTAGAAGATTGTTCATAAGTAAGATCTGGTTCGTTGAAACCGAGTATGCTTTTAGCGGTTTGGACGGCGGAAACCCAGTTTTGATCCATGATCTTGGGGAGGCCCCAAAGCATTGGGACGCTGGAGTGTGTGTCAGTTATATGTTGAGCCTTTAGGTCATCATGAACGATAGATTGGACAGAAAGGAAGGGGAAATGTGCAAGAAGAAGAAGACAAAAACTTACAATTCGATACTTGAATCCAAACCATTACTCTGGAATCCCCAATCATAGCCCCAAGTAATCTTACTATATCCCTTAAGCATATTTCCATATGTCGAATCGCCATGAACATTGTTAGAATCGTATGTGATACCACGTTTTCCAGATTTGCTCGGATTAGAGGTGTTAGGTGGAATTGTGATAGAGCCGCCACCACTCTGGAATGTCGTCAGACGATTTGGTCCACCGCACATCTCTGCACTGTTACCCTTGCAGGCCATATTGCAACCATCTGCGGCAGGTCCATTTCCATTGATGATTGAGTTGCCACACCCTGTTCACAGATGTATTAGTAAACGTGGGAGAGTGTGAAAGAGAAGTGGGAAGAGGTAGGGTAGGTAAGGGACTCACAGCATTCTCCTCCATACTCAGTACCGGCGTGCGAGAAACCAGCTGCTGAACAAGAGGCTTGACAACCTTCATTTGTCATGGCTCCAGATACTGATACCGAGGTAGTTAGACCACGACCAGAAACATTGTCAGTGTAGCAGCCAATGGATGTCCAGCTCTGTCTCTTCTCAATATTGGTTTGGACATCTTGAGGTTTGATTGTCATGCAAGTTGCTCTGAGAGCAGATGTAACAACGAAGATTGCTTGAAAGAAAAGCATATTGAAGACTGAACTTGACAGTTGATCGTCAGTATTATTTGGAGGTCGAAGGTCGAAGGTTGAAGGCCGAAAGCTCAAGTCTTCTGTCTTTATAAAGAGTCCAGCAAGTGAGAAGAAGATTCCTTAATCTCCACATTTTCCCCGGATTTCACCTGATCTTAAACTCAAATGATTTCTCGAAATTGTCATAATGTCATACGAGCACAAATTTAATCGGAGCGAACATTCCATGTCGGAGTGAATCAGGAACCACGGCACTTTCTTCCTAGTTGCTAGGCAGTACGCACAGTCGAATCATATTATTCGGAATCAAAATTACCTTTCGGCATATTTGAATTTGTGGGTAAGAAATAATAAATGACATATTTGTGTGATGAGGTTCCAATCTTAAGGGTCTAGGTGGTCAGACGAACATATTAGAAGCTCATTTGTGGTGCCAAACATAGGTTGCATCTTAAAGGAGGTGCAACAAAAGACCACGCCGTAGTAAACAAGACGACAAGTAATGGCGCAGACGGGCTTTCGTCGGTTTCATATATAATTTAATGTAAATCTACGAGTAAATACCTAGGTAAATTAACAGCCTGAATCAAACACCGATTCGATATCTCACCAGCATTCGATGCAAACATATATTGAACGATATGATTGGTTGTTTTGTTTGTTCTGATATTGTCAAACCCGTACAACTGGAGGCTACATAGATTTTTACTCCACAAACCAAAGAAGCGGATAAGCCTCTGAAGCCACATGGCATATAATGTATATTATCCAACCTGCACCCCGCATTCCAGTAAGATGGGCTCGCATGGTCATCTGGTATTACTATGACATCCTGGCACCGATGTAAGGCCGTAAAGTCGCCGTGTCTCGGTACCAACCGTGTGAATCACGAATTGCAATTACTGCATGAGAAATTGAGGCATTAGTTAATATGAGCAGTATGAATGACTCGGCAGCTAAGCTAATAAGTTCATATGATTCAAAAATTCACTAGCATACACTTCGCAGTGCTTTTGGGTCATTGCTAGATATTCGTGCAATGTGTTGAAAAGAGTTTGTACGACAATGAAGGGGAAGCCGAAATGAACCACTGAAACATGTGTCCCTAGCTATCAGCCACCACATGTAGACAGATTTATGAGCTGATAGGACCTCAAATCAAGGAGGAAGGCGACTTCATTATCACCGCTCCAGGAAACTCTTTTCTTTTAATCGAACGATCACGTATTCAGATAATGGACATAAAGCAAGCCGAAAGTGCTGTTGGGATCCAACAATAAGGAATTGGAAAAAGCGGAGCAAATTTTGCCTTGGGAGTCAAATACAAGAGACTGTACTAAGTTGAGGAAGTGATAGTTAATGTTAGAAATCACTTCGGGCTGTTGCTGAATATTCTAAAGCAATGACTCAATATCAAAGCAGACTCAAGGGTTACCTAGGAAGTTCCAAGAGAATCAAAACTCTAGCGGATCTGGTAGTTTGGGCCCCGGTAGTGCCTGACGCAATTGCAGTGATCAGAGAAGCATAACAGCTTCTTACAACCATCCGTGAATGAAAGGATGTAGCTTCCCGACACAGTGGTGAACAAGACCGAGGGCATTCCGCAAAGAAAGTATGAATATGGCCAAACATATTTATTGCAGTGAATTGGGAATAAGCAGGAAAGACTTTGCGCAAAATGACAACAATGCTAAAAGTATGGCAGGCTTTAACAAGTGATTGAATATGGATTTGAATATCTTGAATTTCCAATGGACTGAACTGCAGTCTGGCAATCAAAAGCTTTGCTTCTTGGATTCAATCGGATGATTCGACTGGGTTGAGATATTGAATCTCATTTTGAATATCGTATCGCTTTTGATAACTGGAAGCTTGGCCCAGTTTACGAGTCCGAATGATTGGATACCATATGAACATCAGTGAATGTCCGCTAATTTCGCGACGGCGATAATGGGGCGAAACGATCAAAACCACTTGCTCTAACTTTCATCCAAAAGCAGGGTCAACTTTCTATCGAATACCAACATTGTGCTTCCAGAAAACTCCGTGCTCTCATGGATCAGCCTTGAAGGGAGACAGAGGAGTATCAGAAATCCTGTAAGCCAAATTTCTTGAATACAGGATCAGGCTACAGAATAAACCAGAAGAAAAGGGATGAATGCAGCTTATTATAATCGCGGCCTGCTTGGAACTGTGAAGAAGGATGATTGTAACTTGTTGACGCGGGGCTTGGAAGTGTAGGATGGAGAATTACTAGGTGCGAACTTAGCAGAGGTGTCCCGCTGACTTAGTAAATATTGACCAAATTGAGCTAAAGCATCATGTGACAATAGTCGAGCATCGATAAACACACACCTCAATAAATGTTATAGCAATCACCTACTCACCAAATGTTTCCTATCCTCACTTTTCCATCTATTAGTCTTGGAAAAGTATCGAACATGAATCAAAGACTTCAATGTCCAGCTTGAAACATGAAACATTCACCCCTATTACTTCATCGGCTGGGAAAAAATGTTGTGCTTACTAGGGAATATTCTCGGCCTCTTGGGCTCCGACTTCTCAGGGGTTTTGACATCCCCGCTTACTGTAAGACGGTACACTTCACTCTAAATGATGGAGACTTCAGGGTATATCGGGCTCTATCATTAGTGCTCCACAGGTCCACAGTCCTCTATCTCCACTTTGAACTGATTTCGGGGACTCGGTTGTTACGGATGTTGTGAAAAGAATCGAGATGCGATGAGGTGAGATGTCGTACGCGCGCGCATGGGAATTTAGCTGCCTCTGAACCTTAATGTTTCGGTATTCCACGATGCTTGATCGATGAGATTATGGATGATAAGCTGTGGGGAGGGCTTGGAAAAGGATGCGAATTAGACTGCTTACGTGTATACGAATGCGAGGTTCGTGGATACTCGTTTGAATGCTTTGGGAATCATTATATATGGTTCAGAGATAAGCCTGTACTTGTATTCAAAGAGCATCAGCAAATCTACTTCCATTTCCATCACCCTATTCCATATCATTTCATTTGTGTAAGAGATACATATTCTGAACTCTATATCGGAAAGTCATACAGTTATAGGAAACATGGGAATAAGAAACATGGGAAGCGAAAAGATATTACAAGTCTTTGAGATTTGGGTTGCTTACGGCGAGACGGGAGTCATTCAAGAAGGCGTGCTTATTGTTCCATATCCGTCCTCATCCTCATCCATACCCGTGCCTGCATGCACGTCAGAGTCCCCGCTATCCTCCTCGAACCAATTTCCGATCCCATATCTATTCCACACAACACACAATCCCTCGTCCTCCGTCCCATCTGCATCCGCACCCGGACCTTCACTACCTAGCTCCGTTGGCGGTAGATCTAGTTGGCAAGGTAACATTCTTGCCTCTTCCCTACCTCTCTACCTCCAAATCTGTGCTTCGATAACTTCACGGCATTGTAGTGCTGAAGAAGTAGAATTATTGAGAAAGCCAGCGGAGTGGACGAAGATGTTATTTTTGGATTTGGCTCGAGAGGGCATTTGGGTGGAAAGTATTCTCACAGAGAGTAGAGATAGAGACTTGGGTAGAGAGAGGGAGAGGAGGAGGGAGAGTCAGCAAGAGAGAGATTCTAGAAGAAGAAGGAGAAGAAGTGAGACAGAGCGTGCAGGGGTATGTGATTCTATGATGTTAGGAAGACTAAGAAGAAGATTGGGGTATGAGGTAAGGGCATACGAGCGGGGAGGAAGACAAAAATGCAGCGGTGGACGTGTGAATAGGAATCCTGTCAGCGGATGTAGACCCAGAAGACGAAGACAAGTTCTACGCCCTCGGAGAGCTAGGGATGATCGAGAAGGAAATAAAATTCTAAATCCAAAGGTTTGTGCTTCCTTATGAAGACACAGAAGTTGTTGATGGCAAGTGTCGCTAATTCTATTTGCCGCAATAGATGATTCGGAAGTTGTGGAGCGGTATCTCCCAGTCCTGTGCGAAGCCTTGAGTGTTGTTAGAAAGTTTCAGAACGCTCGAGGATGCCAATGTACATAATAGCTATGAAGATGTTGAAGAAATCTCTTGATGTGGTCTCGAGCCATGGATACATGTAAATGTTTGTCAGAGCAAAAAAGAAATTGTTTAATACTGTATACAATGCTATAAACCGAAAACTAGAATTATGAAGTGTTTGCTATCGACTTCCTACAAAATAGCCCCAATAACAGACTCGAATATCAACCCAAACACATCTCCAATGGCATTAGCTGTCACCGTTTCAGCAATCATGCCTGCATACTTCAACTTCTTGTTTTCAGGCTTTCCACTTGGCTCGTCGACTTGTCTGTGCCCTCTAGGTAAGCGAGAATGTCTTGCTGATCGGGATTCATGAAATTCCTCCTCTTCCCCAGGGTAGTCCAGACCATCGTCAGAAGATTCTAAATCTCTGGATACATATTGCTGACGGGCAGAATACTTATGATGTGGTTCCATGCTAGAACCCTGAGATTTTCGATAATTTTTCTGGTCTGGCACATCATTTCTTTGTGGCTTATATGACATGTTGTTCCAATCAACGGATTCAAAAGAATACAAAGACGGATGATCATTCCGCGGTTGTGAGTAAGAGTCAGGACTGATAACCTCAATAGGGAGCTTTTCAGGTCTGTCGAAAAGAATGTGCGCGATGTTTGCACGACTCATATAGTCCTCCCATGTTTCAATCCAGTCAGCGGCGCTATTCAATGGCACACCCAGGTTTCTCGCTATTGGCTCCACACTCCGACAAATCGAGTCAAACGGTACCACATCGTCTCCGAAAACTTTACCTTTATAGGTCATATTTCCACCTAGTGAACATTGTAGTGATTGCTTGTAGGAAGTGCGCCATCTTGAAAGGTCCCGAGATGTATGATAGGCACAAAGATGATAATCATTTTCCACTGACTTGCCGCCCTCGTGAATCAAAATCACTCCAGCTTGTGAAATTCCGGTGTCTGCAAGGATAGAATGAAAAGCCCATACATCATATATAATTGTCGCTTGGGACGATGTCATTGGCTAGATGCTTTATGAACAGTATTGAACAGTTGTAAGTGATAGAAAGCGTGAGATGCAGTAAGACTTTACCCTAAGAAAGTTCAATAGATCAAATATACCAACATATGATTGAGACTTAAGAGAATGAGGAAAATGTTTGTTTGTTTGGATGTTAGTGGTGGGTTATATGGTCTGAGGCCGAGTAGGGCATGTCCTCCGACCTTTGAATTTAATTCTCGCATTACGACACTTACAAAGTCAGCAAAAGTTACGACTGGTTGAATAAGAGAATCAAACGGGGTCAAACAAAAGCCCTCTATGGGTCAAAAACCCGCTTCGAAATGTTGGTGGGTCTGTCCAACCCCGCGTCTAATGAATGCTCATCCAAACAGCCACTCTAGTACTACTAGCTATCATTGATCGTTTGTTTCATTATTGTTGAGCGACTGAGTCTAGGATTCACTTTCGGTCATTTTCAAGGGTAGGGGGTTGTTTTCCTAGCTTTCTGTTTGTCGGAATGAGGAGGTTAGATGATGTTAATTTTGATATCTCAAACGGAGGGTAGTGCAAATTAGCTCAAGCTGACAAAGCAACCACCAACGTACTCCTCCTCATTAATCCTTTGATTCCTTTCGATAAGATAGGTACTTTTATGTCCTCTTTCTGACGTTTACTTTCTAAAAGAGAAGTTTGACTTTGTTGAAATGATTTGCTCATGATTCGAGGATAGAATTCTTTCTTCGTCATTCCAGTGAACGCATATTAGATTTCCAGATATCTAAGATAGTATTGAACGATCAGCAGTTTCATGACACGGGGTAGGGGGAGGGGGGTGTTAGCTTCTCGACCATGTTCTATACCCCAAGATGACCTAGCTGCCATAAGTTGCCCAATCTCAGTGAAATAGCATTGAGATGGAGAGCTAGTCAGGCTCTAATATGACAATTTCCAATGTACACCAGAGTCATGGCTGACCGAAGACATAGCGTCAACAAAGATTGTTGTGCTCCCACCCAGAAATCTGGAATGGACCAGGTCTGAATTCATATGCGATGCAGAGTTTTTGATAAGCTTCGCATTGGAAGGATACCTTTAACACCAATTTTCTGTTGTTGGAAATCAGCAATAATTCACTTCAAACATTTGGTAATGCCCATCTCTCCAAGTTGACATATATATCTCATATCTTTGTTTCTTTCCTAGGTTTTTATAGTTGTCTTTATTCGGCTGCTAATAGTCGGCTCTCATAAGCGGCCGACTAGTTCCTAGTCGGGGAAAGCGAATGTCCCCGGAAAGCGAATTGTCCTTGTGAGATTTTGGGTGCAAAAAGCACTAAAATCATCAAATTTTACTACAAATCAAATCTGTTTTTAGTATACAACCTTCAATTTTAGATTAATTTTTTATATTTTTATACAATTCTATTCAATAGAATTCTAGCTTTTCAATGATATTAAATTCTTTTGAATTGCTTCAAAATTCATAATATTATTTATAAAATTCAGATATTTTTCAATAAAAATTACAAATCTACCACCAAAATCTCACGGGGACAATTCACTTTCCGGGGACATTCGCTTTCCCCGACTAGGAACTAGTCGGCCGCTTATGAGAGCCGACTATTACTACCTTTGGTTCTTCGCCTTGTACATATCAGCCTGGGCGTTTGACAGCATTCGACCATCACCGCGATATATATCTTTCCTTCCACCTTACAGAGGACGCTCAAATGATTCCAAGATATCAAGCCTAATGCTACTATTGTTCAATGTGTATTAGCTTTTGCATATTTGCTAGGAGATACATAGTCTCGACCATATTAGACGGCCCAGCTCTGATATTTTTCGCTTGTCAAAATCCGTTTCTCTACATTACTCCCATGATTATTCTCGTACATCTTATTGAGACATTCGTGTGAACTACACTGCGAAGGTTCTCTAAGGTTGGATTTCATATTCTTATCAATACTGTGAAAGCTTTCTGTCGAGGCTATCAAATAGTCAAATCGTCATAGTAAAATATTTTTGGATAATCTTACTTGATCACCTAAGTTCCTCCATTGATAGAAACCGCTACTGGCCTGAAATAGTAAGATCTGCATGCAGAGTATTATTTGATGGAGTGAGTAGAATTAGAGGAATCATCTGAATGCTCTGTTTGTCGAAACATAGTTTGGACGTTTGAAAACCTCGACTGAAATGCTATTCATCTCAAGATGATGGTATACCTCCTACCACTTTTTCGATCATCAATAGTGCCTTGTTCTGTCAAATATCAATATCAAGCTAAGCAAAATTCCTTAATAGCAAAGGCTCATAGCTTACTCTAGCAACTTTGCGGTTGACCTTAAGGTAGCTTAGCATGTATGCAAAAGCTTGCCCGAGTTTGATCGTGGGATGCTATCACCAAGCAAAACCCATATACAGTTGAATATTGTAATTCAGAGTGCTATACGCTATTGTCTCTCTGCCATTGGAAAATTGTGGTTTTGTTGTTCTCCTTATCATAATTCTTTTTGTTGGGATGAAGTTTCTCGTACTCAAAAGTGAATATCAGGTTTCACGATTTCTTTTTTTCTGTCAGCCAGTTTATGTTTTGATTGTCCTCAAATTCACTATTGGTTTTCTCAACAGAAAATTATATGTGGACAATAGAAACTTGACAAGTTCTCCATGAGTCACCTAGCCAGCAAGGTCTTTTAGACTTCAATGATATTGTCTTTTTGTCTGACAATAAGATCAGAGTTCCATCGCGAAAATTTACCCAGATCTTCTGTGAAGTATTTGAATTCCTCACATCGATCCTAGTTTTGTTCCCTTCTGCTGTCACTTCTTCTTATGCAAGCAACACAGAACGGCCATCACTACTCTACTACTTACATAAAGTAGAATTCCAGCAATGTTCTCATCTTTTCCTTCATCATAACCGATTCTTCGATTTCTTCAAAACCAATTCTCAATATACCAACAGCAATTCTCTTTACAATGTCTTTCAATTCCAGCCCCTTCATTCGTAGTGCTTTTCCCTACTTCTCTCCCTACTCCAGCAGCCCCAGCAGCTCCTCGACTAGCGAGTCGCTTAGTCTCCTCGATGAGCCCGAGAGATCTATCGAGCATCCCAATCAGTTCCTCAGATCGAAGCTTTCCGACGAAGCGTCTGCAATGGCCCATCAAAATCATCATCATGATCCTACTTTATACGAGCGAGTATCTCTTGTAACTTTCAATTCATCCAATTTACTAACCACACAACCTACAGAGCTTCGCCTCCACGTCGCTTCGTTGTCCCAGACATTGTAGTCACTACCGCTACACCAATAGCTCCTCTCCTCCCTCCCTACTCACCTCCCAAGAAGGGCAGCACAAAGACCACCACATTTTACCCACCAAAGCATTTTGCTGGAGAGGTCACCAAGCCCACCAGCCAAGCCCATTCAACTCTCCGCCCTCAAACCCCCACAGCCATAACCCTAATCCCCCCATACGACTTCTACTACCCCTCCCAACCCCCCACTCAACCTCCCCCCTCCCTCGACCCCAATCTATTCACTCCTCTCCCCCCCGCACACAAGTACTCCGAGCTCATCCTCCCCCAACTCCGCACTCTCACCCGCAACATCGAGTCCACAATGGATACACACTTGATGAGACAACTCCCCCACCTCCACTCCCTCCTCAGCCTCCTCTCTCCCCTCCCCGACTTCGGCCTCCTAACCCACAACCTCCCCGCCTTCCAAGCACACGTAGAAACCTACTTCGCCACCGCTCGCACACAGGAAGAACAGTATTTCCACACCCTGCTTGCCGTCAAGCCCGAGCCGGAATTAAAAATGGTGTTCAGAATCTTCGATGATCTGTATACCTATAATTTTCCCCGTCGGGCAGCTTGTCTTATCTACCCGGATGATTTTGAGCATGAGCCTGCTGCAGAAATGAACAGGGTGGAATCGGCTTCTCGCTTTCCAGATTGGGATGAGGGGGGTGTGGAGACCGGGGTGCCTGCGCTGGTTTACAGACAGGGATGGGGCGGGAAGGCGAAGTATGTTGTTACTGCTTCTTTTGCGGGGGATGTGGGAGTACAGTATCCCATGTATCACTTTTGAGCTTGGTGCTTGTGGATCTGCAGTTGGGGGTTGGAGTGGTACGTGATTTACGGAGTATCTTCAGAAGAGTTGTACCTGTGGGTGGATGGGGTGGAGTTTGCTGAATGCAGGTTGATGCGAAAGAATCCGATACTTCACACTCACTAATTACAATGCCACGATATTTCCAGCCCATTCTCTCTGCGGGTGTATGAAAACTAAGATTCAGCCTCGAACGTGCTTACAATATCCACTCAGAGATTCAAATTATGCGCACAACCATTCAATTGCTATCGCCCTTGATTTACTAATCTCAAGGCCCCTCTAGCAATCGTTGGCCCAATTAACAACAATAATAGAACTTCCATCCAATTTTACTAGCAATCTAAACAGTCATCCCCGATGAATTTGATCCTACATCCATCAATCCAAGTCATCGTCCTTAACTCAAGCGGACCCGGCTACGTCCCCCTCATCCCTCCTTCCCCTCAGTGCGGGGAACCCTGTCTTATCATCCCTCTCAAACATCACCCCTTACTTCCTCAACTCCTTCAAGCTAGCTGCTAGCAAGCAATCATTATATATCTATTGCCTATCACTCACCTCTCTTCAAACTCCCCTTTGCATCATACATAAGATTTACCAGATGTGCATTTATTTCAAAGTTTTTAAAACCTGACGTACTCAAATAGTGGGCGGAATGTTCTTTTTCTCTACTCTCTACTCTATGTAACAGATCTAGTCTCCTATTGTACATCTTTTCTTATCTCCTCACGCCGAGAGGACGTAACAGTCAAGCCACCCAACGCAGTCAAAGCTGGTCAGACGTAGCATTTTATTACCATGCATCCAAATCACATAGGATATCATTTCATCTCATCCACCCTTGCCTAAGATGATGATGTTTCTCTCAAATGACAGAATATCAAGCCATCCATCTAGATATCTTATTTCACCAAACTCCCGCTTTTAAAAAGGAATAAGCAAACAAAGTCTATCCATCCATCTAACCCATTGCTATCCCCGTTTCTTCATGTCTCTGTATTAAAGTTGATTCGGCGATGAAGATGAATTATCTAGGCAGTGGGCTTGAACTTCATAGGGGCTTGTTCGGTAGTCTCTGCAAAAGGAACACCGAGTTCAAAGAGCTTGGTGATGACATTTGCGAAGTCCTTCATGAAAAGAGATTCATCATTTGCGTATTTCTCGACGAATGAGCGGAAAGATTTGTCGGAAACGAGGGCCATATCGGTGGGAAGCATCATGAGGGACTTGGTGGTCTTGTCTTCGTACTATTTTGAGATTATATGTTAGTTCATTTCTATTTTGGCGTCCAAAAAAGTAAAGAGACGAGGTTAATCATACCTGCTTAGGACCATTCCACTTTTTCCAGTTCCACTTCTCATTCAACAAGAGCTTGTAGTAGTCGTTGGTAACAACTGTTGGAGAGAAAGTCCAAGGACCCTCAAAACCACTACGATCAGTGTGGCAACGTCCAAGAGCGTGAGCACCACTCAAAGCAACAATTTCTTGATCATTGAATCCCATACGACCGAAGATAGCTCTCAAGTGCTTGTTACCTTGGGATGCATCTGGGAGACGTCCATCAGGTGTGCAAGCAGCAGCGTCCTTATCTTGTCTACCTGGTCGGAAAGGAATGACTGGGCCCTGCATTTCTTGAATAGCACAGATACCAGCCAAGATCCAGAGATCAGAGTAGGAGATCCATGGGTGCTTGGCTGTGAAGATGTTAGTAAGAAGTTACTTCTTCAAGTGTGAAAGGAACAAGCCCCGAAACCCGCAAGTCCCAGCGCTCGAAACAAGAAAAAAAGTATGGGAAGTCTTCTATAACTTCTCCAAACTGGGTTCCGCCTCCCCCGGCACTCATTCGCACTGGAGGGGCAACATGTCTTCATTCATAAAACAGTAACATAATCGACTTACCCTTGACAGGAGCCAAGAAATCTCTAGCAGCAACCAAACCAGCATTGGCACCGTGATCACCCTCTGGGGCAAATCTCATAGTAGCACCATTGCTACCACCAGTACCAGTTTCCTTGTCAAAAGTTCCGCTGCAATGCCACGCCAATCTGACCAAGACGGGTCCGTAAGAACCATCATCATAATCATCCTTCTCTTCCAATCTCTCTGCGATTTCATTGTAAACCTTTTGGTAGTCGTCGAATGTAGGTGTGAAGAGACCAGCGGTTTCCTTGGCAGAACCACTCAAGAGTGATCCATTACCTTGAGAGATAAAGTAGTATCCAGCACCTCCGGCAACGGCCAAAGCAGCAACACCGATAGAGAGAGGGAAGGAAGATTTGGCAGGTCCTTCAGATGCATATCCACGACGAGATTGTTGACGGAATGCTTGACGAGGAGCACTCAATGCAGTGCGAGTAGCGGACCTGAAAGGTGTTGATTTGAATGCAGCGCCTGCGCGAGCAAAGGATCGAGTAGCGGATGCCATTTTGATAAATGGGTTGTATTATGATGTATGTGATGGTTGATATTCTGTTGAAGTAAAAAGTCGAAAAGTAAGTAAGTGTTCTCTTTCCTCACTATATCTTTTTTGTATGAAATAAGAAAAGCAAACGAATTGGAAGATTTCGAGGGCAAATCAGGTAGAGTAGAGAGTAGAGAGGATGAAGTACTTACAGAAGACAAGAGAAGTAAGATAAAGACAGAAGTGAATGAATCTTTCTCACACACTACTGGTATCACTATTATTGATGATATTCGCAAGATTGAAAAGGTGAAGGTGGTAAGATTTCAACCTTTAGTAGTACGGAACTGAAACCTAAGTGACCGGTAACCACCTCCACTTTACTTTACTTTACTTTACTTTACTTTACTTTACTTCACTGCACTCCTCACTTCACTCCTCACAGACCTCCTCACAGACCTCCTCCTCTTCAAAGTTCAAATCCACCCACTACGATCCACCAGCATTTCTCAAAGGCTTCTGCATCGAGTTTCCCTATCGAGTTAGTATTTCCATCGGATGCCCCTCTGTACTTTCCATTTTCTATCTCTAGCTTCACTTCTCCCAAGGAAATAGCCAGTGAGAGTGTGTGAATATGAGAACAATAAGTGCAAATAATTCCCCAAAAGAAATGATAACGAAGCAAATCTCGGCCCACTTGATTCCCCAATCTTATCAATCATCGTTTCACATTGGCCAATCACAATCCACGTATTCAAAAGATTATTAGAAGAATATCTGACATGACTCTTCTGGATTGTTCCGTTTGACAAATTGGCCGATATTTGACTTTACAACATCTTTGGAGGGTCAATAGAATTTATCCACGACTTGTTGGGAAATCACTAGTGCAGTTTCAATTTAGAGAGAGAGAGAGAGAGAGAGAAAGAGAGAGAGAAAGAGAGAGAGACCGTTTTCCAATCCTTTTCCTCGTGCTCCATCGATTGATCATATTTGATGATAAGGCTGAACGCCACCGAAGAGGCTGAAATCTCGAATACAGACAATTTGGAAAAGAGAGAAAGGCTCGAGATATTATAATTGGTCAGCCAGTTTTCATGATTTCTGATTGGTTGTAACCCCTGAAGGAGATCTTAGCTCCGAGTGCGGAACGCGACATGTGAGAGTGCGGAGTTCGTTCCGACTTGAAATCCGAATTATGTGAGCAGAATTCTTTCTACGTTTCTAGAATCATATATCACCTATATCGCCGGTGACATTTGGAGATCCAGACATGGTGGATCGGTTGTATGACTAAAGTGTCTTGAGGAATCTGGCGTCTGGAACGACGGGTTCACGTAAGCAGAGTGGCTTTTTCAATCATATCTACCAGGGTAGGTGTTGATGTTTTGATTTATGGTCACGTCATATACAGGTTGGAAGACGAGATAGATAGATATCATATAGGAGTAATTTTATGGAGACACCTTGTAGCTTTTTGTCCTGTTACCCATGGATATTTTGAAAGTTGTGAAGATATCTTTCTAATACATTTGATATGTTTGTTCGCCTGACCATTAAATGCTGTCTTATGGAGCATACTCATATCTTCTGGAGGACTAGTAGTCGGGAGTCGGGAGCGGGGGAAAGGGCGGGGTCTATTTTGGAACCGCCATTCTCCATAATTCCTTGTATGGCGTACACTCTCGAAGCCGGGATTGGATGATGTACCGTCTCCAAGAATTAATCATGAGGGGTTCAGGATTGGAGATAGAATAAGCAAATAAATTCAGCCCTAGCTAAACCCTGTATACCTTCAATCCAGACAATCAGTTCCTTTTGCGCGGCCATTGCATGTTCATGAAATGGGAAACTAATGGCTACGAATGAAACGTATCTTTCGTATGTAAGCTCGGTGGTATGTAGATGGCGTACTAATAGAGACGCTCAGCACCTAGTAGATAGCTAACATCAATATCAGGCCATTTCTACACATTACCACTAACAGGTGTATCTCCATCAAAGCAAGCTGTGAAACTTGTAGGGTTAGTCTAGAGTATGAAGTATTCTGGCGTTTCAACAGAAGAAACAGAAGAATTAGATGAGCTGCAGTGAGCGAGAGCAGTCCTGGAATGTTAAATACCGGTATTGGATGTGATTTGGTAACTGTGTGAGTTTTAGTATTCTGCATAGAATAAAAATGGGATATCTAGCTGTTGAAAATAAGCATGTGATCGGACTCCTACAATGAGGCCTTCTTGTGAATCGTGGAGTGGAAGTCGCTTGTGTTCAAAACGTTGAAATTCATGTTGCAAAGGAGACTACAAACACGGATCTCAATCGATTATGGCAATGAAGTCTTTGATATGAGGAAATTGGAACAATAGAGAGCAGTAGTAATAGGAGAAGGCCTCAAAGATTTAACTTTTGCATTTGATTTTATTCGGAAGATTTTGTGTCCCCAAAGAGGGGGTTTACCTCGCATTCTGTAACCAACATCAATGGTAGACCAACCACTCAGAGTCAATCATCAAATCAGGACCATATTTGGGCGAATCGTCTCACGAAACATCATTGCTCCACGAGTTGGACCGTGTAACACATGCCTTCCTTCTAGGAGCCACCAGCCTTCGAGCAGCATAGCCGGCTATGGGGGGCTTGCTCTCATGATGCCAATAGAACCGATAAACTACGATAATCAAAACTAAGGATCCGCCAACTCTCCGGGGCCACTGCCATAGAAGTATGATCGAAATTCAGGAGGAGGTTCTGCATGCTAGTAGCATATATCTAGCATCTCCCCGTACTGCCAAATCACCCGCCGGTCCACTTCTCAGAACTTTAGATAGGTACTTACTATCCAGCAAGGGTTGGAGAATAATCTCAAACAGAAGATTCGAAACTACTAACGAATCAAGGAAAATTTGTTAGTACCATCGTTCCCGTAAAATTCCCAGAAATGATAGCAAGGCTTTGCTGAACGCAAGGCAAACCGTTATTGCTGTGTTAATGTTGTACTCCTTTCAAGATTCCAGCGGGGTTCAGGAACCCAATCGAGAAATCAACCATTCTTGTAGCATGATTCCTTTTCCTTGGCTGTTTGAATACGGTTCAAAAGATACAGGACAAGAAGGAACTCTATACTACCTGGGTACACAAATTAATGAGGTTATCTCTCCAGACTTGCCGTCTCCACATAAAGCGCCAAGATTTCATACTCGCTTAAGCTCACTAGCGTTACACGTGACCACACTTCCAATTTTTCAAATCCCACCACCACATCAAAATTTCTCCCTCGCGCTCACAACGAAACATCGACAACACGACAATCCCAACGCCAACATCTACAATGGCCGCCGAAAAGCAAGCTCGTACCGGCCTCGCCGTCGGTCTCAACAAAGGACACGTATGTTCATGAAATTCCCCATTTCGGGGAACAAAAAACCCGCCCGTCTCACCTCTTGGAGGATCTTCTTTGCGAAAATTTTAGAAGATGGACCGGCTGATTTATGTTGTGATATATAGAAAACCGAGGCTCGTGTCTCCAAGCCCAAGGTTAGCAGAACCAAGGGTCACTTGAGCAAGCGCACTGCGTTTGTCAGAGATATCGTCAAGGAGGTTTCTGGGTATGTTTCTTCCAATTTTCTCTCGAGAGTAAACAATCGACTAACCGTCTCCTCAATAGTCTCGCACCATACGAGCGCAGAGTCATCGAATTGCTCCGTAACAGCAAGGACAAGCGTGCCCGTAAGCTCGCAAAGAAGAGGGTATGTTTTCCACTGCTCTCACATCACCAACAACGCATCACCACCCACGCAAGACGAATACTAACTTAACCACAGCTCGGTACTTTCGGACGTGCTAAGGCCAAGGTCGACGAGCTCCAAGGTGTCATTGCCGAGTCCCGCAGAGCCGGTCACTAAATTCCCAACCTCATATTCTCTCACCACGAAGAAATCACATCTCATCTCTCCAATACAATGGATTGATATATGGGTTTATGATGGATCTCCACATTTACACAAGTCAAGCATATGGGAATTGGAGCTGTAACAATGAAGAATTTTACGAGTTACTATGATTCTGGGAATTGGGATCTGAAGTTGCTATTATCAATAGCATTCATGAAGATTTCAGGGCAAAAACAAAATACCTTCCAAAATTGTTTCTATGGTCCTTCATATTTAATTGCTATGTGAATTCTTCATTTGACTTTTCATGTCCTTGCACTTTGATCTAATGAGAAAATGAGGAACAAAAACGCCTCTCGCTATGATTCCCTTCCCTACCAGCCTGACCAAGAGAAATACAACGTCTCAAGATCGAAGAAGTCCAACCACCCTATGAATACCGTCATAAATCATTATCACCTAGTGCACAACTCACTCTTCAAGCATCAACTGGCGGAATCTAAATAGACGCTGCGAAAGTCAACATGGACAATCCATCCATCAACCATTCTCGGACACCCCGTTCACTTCCTCCATCTATCTCTTCTTCAAATTCTTCATAATAAGATTATGCAATCCCTTCTTCTTCTTCTCCCCACCCCCATCATCCTTCTTCACCTCCTCTGGCTTTCTCTCCTCTTCTTTCTCCTCCACACTCTCCACAATGGGTACTGGTTGTTCTGTAGCTTTCTCCCTATAAATATCCTTCAATACTGGTTTTCCCTTCAATCCCTCAATATTCGCCGAGTCTTCCCACGCTAAATTAACCACCGTTGGACCTTGGATTCCCAAATGCTTGATCAAGAATTTACTCTCTTCATTAGGTATTGTTTCTCTTCCTTTGTTGCCTTGATAGATCAATTTAAATGGTTCATTCTCATGAACGATTAATCCGCGTACATATTCATAAAGCCATTTTCCGTGAGACTCATTAGTGATGGATTTACTAATAGCCATTTGATCTGGAAATCGAATACGAAGAGGGATTTCTTTGATTTTGGATAGCCGGTCTTGGCGGGAAGTTTCAAGCGCAAGTTCTTCATCGTAGGAAAGAAGTTTGGTGTTTTGAGAACTATTTTGAAGACGAGATAGCACGGATTTGGCGTGGTGGATGGTGGGAATGTAATCGGCGTCGTTGTGGGGGGCGAGGGCTGCGCGAGGAGTGGAGTTGTTGGGGGCGGAGAAGACAACTACGGGAAGGCCATCGGGACCAAGAATTTGAGGGGAGATCGAGGGGTCGATCGAGGGGTCAGTTGAGGAGGACGGAGGTGGGTTGGAAGGTGTAGTGTTTGTGGTTGCGCCGGCGGGTGTGGGCGTTGAATAGGGAGTTGCATCTGAAGGTTCAGAATCCTCCATAATCGTATCCTCATTTTGTTGTTCTGACTCAGAAGAAGGAAGGTAAGTAATAGTATCCGTTGCAGCTTCAGTCTTCTGCGGCGTTTCGGCAGAGACTTCAGGTTCTTGCTCTTCCTCCTTGAAATATTCTCCAATATCCTTCATAGCCTCCTCAATCGGTTGATCCGTCTGTCGAAACGTAAGTCTCAGCAATCCCGTCCCCTTATTTAATCCCAAATTCGCAAGGGTCTTTTGTAAATCTCCAAATGTAGCCATTTCTCTTCCCATCACATTCAGCACCGGCATCTCATACACCATGCGACCAGCTCCTGAAGCGCCATTTTGTAGTTGCGCTACCCCTCTTCCCGTGAAATTTAAATTCGCAACTCCGTTGCTCGACTCGAACTTGCGGAGGACAAGCCACAATGTTGTATTACTAGGGAAAGTATCTTTCAATCTCCCACCCGGAACCGCAGATGCGAGATCTTGTGGTAATTGGAGCGCAATGGAGACTGGAGCGGGTGATCTGGAAGCTTCGACCAAGGTGAGTTTTGCGCCGGTGGTGAGACCAGTTTGACGATATGTTTGGGATAAATCGATGGGTTTGTCATTACTTTTCTTGAGATCGTAGTTGGTATTCTTCTTCCCAAGCTTCTTGCAGGCTTCTGAGACAACTTCGCTCATATAAGTTCCGGGAGTGACTTTTATGGTTGCTCTGTTGAAGCCCTTGTCGATGACTACCACGTTGGAAGCCATACCTAGGAATTGGTAGTTAATGCAGTAGATGTTATAAATTGTAGAATGGTTCAGCTATGAGATTTTGAGAGTGATCGCTATCGATTCCAAGAAGATAGAAATATCCCAGGTCGAAGTTGTTATGTTGTATTCGTAGCGTCCTTCTATAAAGTTCTGTGATATTTGTAAGGGTGTTGGAGGGTTGTGGCGGGGTGTTAACAAGCTTGTAGTCAATCAACCTGGTAGAGTACGGCGGAAGTCAAACCAAATAAGCCAATCTATAAAGAACGATAAGTAAACAAGTCCAAGCATATAATTTGCTTCGAACTTACTCCTACAAATAGAAAGTAGTATTAAAGAAAGTTCAATTCAAAGTTCGTTCCTTTTATATAATAAAGTGTAAAATGATTTTATAAACAGGTAGTTACTAGCTGATGGTACCTATCGTATCTCATAATCGTTGCCTTGTTGGCCCAAGCGTCAGCTTGAGAGCTCAACATCGACGCGCCAGCCGTGTCTACCTTGTCCATGTCTCTCTCACAACCTCGATATTACAACCCCAGACCACTTCAACTTGAATCACCAAACCCTTTATCTGCGAATCTCTTTACAAAAAAGAGTGAAATTGTCGTCCTCTGATTTACCCAGTTCTTGATACCCTGAATTCGTACACTTCATTCACAATGGTAAGCTTGCTTTACCTACACAAAACCATACATATCTTAAACATGTTATCCACGCTATGAATAAACCAGCTAACACCTACATCTAGAGCTCTCCATTCTCCATCAGTACGCTGCCCTCTCTGTCTCACAATACCCCAATCTCAAACCACAAATACTAACCATACCCCTCAGATGGCGGTGCCTGCGTAGCCATGGTAGGCAAAGACTGTGTCGCCATAGCCTGCGATCTCCGTCTCGGTCTCCAAGCCCTAACGGTCTCCAACAACTTTCCCAAAATCTTCTCCTACGGCCCGTCCGTCTACCTAGGTCTTACCGGTCTTGCCACAGATGTCTCCACCGTCTCGGATCTCTTCCGCTACAAAGTAAACATGTATCGACTCCGCGAAGAGCGCAATATTTCTCCCACCACCATGGCGAATCTCGTCTCGAGTTCGCTGTATGAACGTCGCTTTGGCCCGTTTTTCGTTAGTCCTGTGGTTGCGGGATTGGATCAGAAGACTGGGAAGCCATTCATTTGTGGTTTTGATAGTATTGGTTGTATTGATTTCGCAAAGGATTTCATTGTTAGTGGAACTGCAAGTGATCAATTGTTTGGTACTTGCGAGGGACTGTGGGAACCAGATTTGGTGAGTCTAATTCTCTGGATCTTTTTTCCTTCTTGACATAGTTGCGGGATCAACTTCTGGAACGGTCATATGGAAAACACTTTCGTGGGAATAGGAAGCTGTTCTATCACACATATCATATAAAATGCTAACAGCTCAATTCTCAAATTCAGGGACCAGAAGATCTCTTCGAGACAATATCGCAAGCACTCTTGAACGCAGTCGACAGAGATGCTTTGTCAGGTTGGGGAGCCCATGTTTACATTATTGAGAAGGATAAGGTTACCAAGAGGTTATTGAAGGGCAGACAAGATTAAATGGTGTGAATTATGACGAAGCCGTAATTGTGATGGAGGACGCAGTTGTAATCTTGATGGTACACGAACTCGTATCCCTGACAGAAAACGATGCATACGACGGTATGAAGACAATGCTCATGGATTCTCACAGGAAGCAGTGAAAGATGCCTTCTTGTGTGCAGATAGCAAGCACGCAATATAGGAAAGATTTGTAGTATTAGATCTATCTAGCGAACAGCCAAGGCATCAAGGGTTTGATAGATACAAAACGAGCATAAATGACACATCTACGTAGACGTTTGCATTTCATTTCACTACGACCTCTTCAGGAATGAACACTTTGCGAAGATGTAGATTTTTTTCTCAAGATATCCAAGTAGTGAATCAGGTGGTAAATCATGCATATGTAATTTTATATTATTGATTCAAGTTCAATACCCCTTCCTTTGCGTGAGTGGTATCGTACATGTATGTTAATCTAATATTTACCAAAATCTAATAGTTTACACCTCCACCGTTTTCTGCACAGCTATTCCAAGTAGCTATTTTGATTCCCATCCAATTGCGCATGCTTCAAGCCAATTCATGGAGACCCGTCTATTCTTTCTTTGGTCTCTCTTGAATTGCTGATTTTTGCATGAAAAATTGTCTCTCTAAAAATTTAAGACCTTCGTCAATGATACTAGTAAATTCAAAACGTTAGCAAGTAAAATCAATAAAATCAGATATCATAAGATGGAAAGAGGAAAAAGCTTACATAACAGGAGCACTAATAATAAGAACCGCCTGCCACTCGTTCCAGTTCAATGGGAGAATTGAGAAGAGAGTTTGCAAGATGGGTGTATAGAGGAGTGCGAAGTGTAAAGCCATGGATAAGGCAATCGCGTAAACCAGCATCATGTTCTCCCAAAGAGGAAGGGTGAGAAGAGATTCACTAGAAGAGAGAGCGTTGACGGCGTTGAACATTTCGATGACGACAAGGATCGAGAGGGAGACAGTCGATGCAGATTTAGCCATGTCGTTTGAGAACATTTGGCAGCCGATATCCGAGAATTGAGCTGAACATTTGTGGAAGTGAGATAATTGCCAGAAAGTAATTTGTGGTCCTTCAGAGTTGTACATGAACCACCATGCATAACCAGCTACAGTAGCAAGACCGACATAGACACCAATGACCATGTAACGGAAGAAAAGCCAGCCACCGATCAATGCTTCATCACGCTTTCTTGGTTGTCTCTTCATGATATCATGATCAGGAGGGTTGAACGATAAAGCTGTAGCTGGGAGACCATCGGTTACAAGGTTGACCCACAAAAGCTGAACAGGAATCAAAGCCTCTGGCATACCCACTGCTGCTGTCAAGAAGATAGAAACAACCTCGCCAATATTAGAGGAGATGAGATAACGGATGAACTGTTGAGTGTTGTTGTAGATAGATCGACCTTCTTCAATGGCAACCTCAATCGTAGCAAAGTTATTATCGGCAAGAACCATATCGGAAGCAAGTTTAGAGACATCAGTACCAG